TATGTCAATACCCTCTCAAAGGGTATTAGGATTTTGCATGGATCTTTGCTCCAATAAAAGGAGACAAATTAAATTAATATTTATTAATATTTTATTGGATATTTCCACACAAGTCCTGCAACCTTAGCCTGTCTGTTCCCACTGTTTTGGGTATATAGCATACCATCTGGATAGATCGTAAAGAATGTCTAAAACTTGGGCTGCTAAACTGGACTTTCCTTTTATTGTTTTTTTTTACATAGTCACAGATTGGGCCAGGGGTGAGGGTAGAGGGAGCGGGCTAGGGTGTAGCTGAGCAGGAGTTGGAAATAGAGGGTGGGGAGCAGGATCAGGAGGAGGAGGAGTAGGGTGCAGGGCCGTGGATAATTTATTGCTATTGCTTTTGTTGTTGTTGTTGTTGTTGAGCCAACCCCCGAAAAGCGAAAAGCGCGTTCTGATCCAGGATACGGCATAGTCATGCTGCCAGGTACACCAAGTCCCACGAAACAAACACCAATTCCATTCCCTTACACTCCCATACACTCACTCACACACACACACACACACACACACATTCCCTCTCACTCTCTCTCCCTCTCCCTCTCTCTCACTCTCTTGCTGTACATTTACAGGGGCACGTGCGCGATCACGATCACGATCGCACCCCAACCTTTTCGAGAGTGCTCGAAATTGTAGGGAAATTTTCAATTTCGCTTTTCAGTCCCGCTGCCAGTGTCCATTGTTCCTTCCGCATTGTTGCAGAGCGCAGACTGGACGAGCACTGGGATGGAACGGGACCTGGGACCCGGGACCCGGGCCACTCCACTCCACATCCCGATCGCAGCGCACACGTTTGGCGCATGCCGCAGCACAGTTTTCCCTGTAAGGGAATGAAAAGCACTCACCAGGCGGCACCAGATGAGGTGCCGCTGGCACTGCCCAAAAGTATGCTAGGCCCGGGAGAATGCTTCGATTTTAATCAAAGGAATTATATGCAGTCCTTCCACAGATTGCAACAAGCTGCAAAAAGCGGGTCACCTAACTGTGGATCAAGATGAACAAATCTTAGACTGATCTTGTGATCGGTTTTCAGTTGCTACCAAGTCTCCTTTACAGATTTTTTGTACTTCCATTCCCGAGTTTATTCACTTGCAATTTCCCTAGGTGCAAAGACAGAGAGAAAGAGAGAGGGAATCCCATGGCATTTGATTTTACATCACGTAAAGTTCTTCCCTTTGGTCCTGGACACTTTAGGTCTGAGCTGCTGCTGCTGCTTGATCCCGAAGTTATTTCGAGCGCGAGGACTGCCACTGAGCCAAGGGGGACTTCCGCTTCAAGTTTCCTTAGCCACTCATAAATTCATGTTCCTGCGACTGCAAAGCAATCAAAAAAAAAAAAAACACGCACACCGAAAACAAAAAGCAAAAGAAAGGAAGAATAGAAAAGGCGATTTATGTGCGCACAACTGCGCACAGATGCCAAGAGAGAGAGAGAGAGAGGAAAGGCAAATGAATGAAAAACAGAAGCGAGAATCGTAAGGAGACGAATGGGATTCGATGGGATGGGTTTTAGTTCGGCAAGGATCGCTAGCGAGCGAGGCACTTGAGTCGACGACAAGTACCAGACGCACTACAGACAGGACATGAGGGGACTTGGGACTCGGCACTCGGGACTCACTCGGCGCCTTCCTCCGGTTACACGAAACTAAAGCTAATTTGATGCCAAAAGGGGATCGGGATTGGGACTGGGTTCGGCATCAAAGTCAAAGTGCTGTGAATGCTCTGTGCCTGATTGATTTACCGATTGCCGCGTGTGAACACCCCCCGCAAGGCAGCGAATCCTATGATCCTGTCAGTCCTCTGTGTGTGTGTGTTTACTCACTGCTTTCACTCCCATTTCAAATTTCACTCATCATCTATATTCATATATATTTATGCATGAATATTCCCGATCCTGCCACTGCCCCTATTTCGCTCTCTCTCTCTCTCTCTCTGTGTGGTTCCCATTGAAATCGATGCGTTCTCGGCACGAATGCAAATAAGTCCCAAAGCCGAATCCGAATCCGAATCCGCATCCGAATCCCAGCATCGAAATTAATTTTTGTTTGTTTAAGTTGTTGTATTTTCTCAAGCCGCCAAAGATGAAAGTCAGAACGGAATGGAATTCAATATAATAGTCCTTGGACAGGATGTGTGCCTTACCCATGACTTACTTTCTTAATAATATTTTTTTTTTTTTGATGAAAGTGGAATAAATATATCTGTGATAGTTTAGCTGCATAGCACCACAGACCCTTTTTTTTCAGTGTAGTAAATATTCAACATTCCCTTGATTCACATTTCTCTCCGTGTGCCCCGAGAGAGAGAGAGAGAGAGTGAGTTACGGCTGCATTAATGCGACTTTCAACCCCCCTGAGGGCTCTGCCAGAAATCAGACAAATTATAATTCCACAGAGGGGTTGCACAGGGCCCGACAAAAATTATACAATATTATTTATTTATGACTATTATTCTTTTTCTTTGCTTCTTATTTTTTATATACATATATATTTATAATTGCAGCGACATAAAGCTCTTATATATTATTGAGGCATACATATATACATACATATAGGTATGTATATGTATAGCTGCGATTCGGTGCGGGGTAGGGGTGACTGGTGGCATCTCTAGGCGTGTCGTGTCGTGTCGTCAAAGTGGGACGCAACCAAGTCAAAGCGTCCTCATCGAGACAACAATGCAGGCGGCGCAAGGGCTCGAAGGAGGCCAGGGAATATGCACACACGCACACACACACACAACTGTTGACTGTTGACTGGTGGCAAGGAACCGAACCGCCAGCAACAAGGATCTACAGCCCAGTCGATTCCTACATCCATTCAGGCGAAACCGGTAGTCAAAGTTTTGCGCCGCCTGCCTCATGCCTCCTGCCGCTGCTGCTGATCCTGCTCAAGTCGTTTCCTTGAACTTTTCAAGTGAACTCAAGTTTATAAATTGTGTAGCAAGTACGCACACACATTCAGAATGGTAACAGAGACAGAGACAGAGAGGGAGAGCGAGCTAAGGATACGCCTCAGGATCAGGTCTATAAGCAACTACCTGGCCCAACCGAAGCAAAAAAACAAAACCAAAGAAAAAGTCTCTCAGCAGCCGAAAAACACACACAAACACAAACAAATTGTTGTACTGCAATCGATCCACTCTCCCTGGCCTACAAACTAGTTTCGGAGACACAGACTTAAGCTTCGAGATGTTGCCAAAATCCGTAAATTATTTTCCCACCAAACAGACAGACAGACAGACAGCCAACAAACTAATTGCCCACGGCCCGAACTGGGAACTGGGAACTCGCAGCTCAAAACTGAAGCTGAAACTGAAAGCTGAAAGTGGAACTCATAGAGCAGAGCCACATGCCCAAAGGAAGCTGCTGGCATAACGCAATGTTGCTGCTGCTGCCGCTGCTGCCTGTGTTGATGGGAAAGATAGCTTAGGGCTGGGCTTAGCCTTACCCCTAGAAGTAGCAAGCAACATTCCTCTCGCATCTTGTCAATTTTAATTAGGATTTATGGCCATACAAATTTGCCAAGATCTTGCCTTGGTTCGGCTCGGTTCGGCTCGGTACTCGCTCGCCTTTAATTTTCGCTTAATTAGCTCGACAATTGGCAAATGGTTTTTCACAATGCCCCTGGCCAGGCCCTCATTTCAGCAGACAGTTCCCAGAGACAATTCTTGAGATTCTCGTGGCAGCAAGCGTGAAAATCTTGTCCCAATGATTTAGTGGAAAATTAAAAGAAAGTGACATTTCGCTGATTTCCTTTGATATATGAGTTTGCCTATGTGGCTCAGAGTTTTGGTACAACTTTGCTGGATTTCCTGAGTTCCAATTGATTTCTGGTAAGTCCTTAGGGCAGTGCTGAAACCCTCTTCCAGGGAATCAGTATTGCCTAATTGTCGATGTTCCTCTTGGTTATTTCAGCACAGAAAATAAATATTCTCTACGTTGGAAACATTTAACGAATTATTAAAACTCTGAAGCTGTGATTTAAAAACCATTTTCGTTGGAGCAAGAGAACGCTGAGTGCTCTAGGGAGATTTTTCTTGTGGATAATTCTTGTGGATTTGCCAAAAACACTTTTGTTCCACTGTCAAGTGATCAGAAGAGGTGATCTATGGCCCTGTGTCTGGATTGTGTGGGAATTTTAAGGTGGTGATTGCGCCCGGACTCCGGTGCCTGTGGTGGCCCAGGTACTGGCCGCACGACCAGGGCTGCCAAAGCTTCGATCTGGCCTTTGCTTTGGTCTCGCGTAGTATATATGTAGCTGTGTGTATATGGAGGGGTGGTATATAAGCAGGCTGAGAGGAATGGAGAGAGAAGTTACATAGGTGGAGGGAAACCACCCTTGGTTGTCCTTGTCCAGGTGGAGTGGAATGCTTCCAGATCAGATGTTAGTTTTCCCAAAAGCCTGAGGTGAGCCTTTTGTCTGTGTGTGCGCCACTCTGTGTGTGTGTTTGTGTGCGTGTGTGGATCAAGGGAAGGACACCCTACCCTACACTGCCGCACAAGGGATCTACGAGTAGGGGATGAAAAGTCATACCTCTGCTGCGAGTCAGAGAGAGAGAGAGCCGCCGCTGCCGCTGCCGCTTGTTGTTTTCATTTCATTATGTTTTACATAAGCGGAGTGGCGTGGAGTAGGGGGGGCATGAGCATGAGGTGTATGTGTGTGTGTGTGTGTGTACGAGGGACACACGAGAAGGATACGTTATATTTTGTTGTGCCGCCGTGTGTGTTGTGTGTTGTGTGTGTGCGCGCCATCAGTCAGTCAACGAAGTCATTTCCGCTGGCAGCGCAGCCAACGCCGGCGTTCCGTTCCGTTCCATTCCGTTCAGTAGTAGTGACAGTTGAGTTTTTTTTTTTTTGGTTTTGGAGTTCTGCCGCCAGATATCGGGGCACGCGACACAGAACGCAACCAGCTGTCCTGACGCAAGGACACAAATTCTAGAGCCGCAACGCACAACGACAACGAGGAGCAGCAGTTGCCGCCAAACACTCGCCCAGGAAGCAACAAAGTGCCACTGCAGTACCAGCGCCCAGTACTCCCAGTCCACTAAAAAGTTAACCAACAGCTTCCAACCAAATGGCTGCCCTCAGCTTCAGCCCCTCACCGCCGCCGCAGACAACGGCCAAGTCGACGAGTGGCAGCTCATCGGCTGCCTCCAAGGAGAACAGCATACAGCCACTGGGCGCCAGCAAGCCATTCGGCAAGATCACCGTACACAATGTGCTCAGCGAGAGCGGGGCCAATGCCCTGCAGCAGCACATCGCCAACCAGAACACGATCATCCGCAAGATCCGGGACTTTGGCATGCTCGGGGCAGTGCAGAGTGCCGCCGCCTCAGCCACAACAAATTCGGGCACTTTGGGCCCACGCAAGCGGCCGCTAGGCGAGTCCAAGCAGAACTCCCAGAACTCCCAGAACAGTCTGATCGGGCCGAGCAAACCGCCGGCCGGGGGCAGTGCCAAACGCAGCAAGCTGAGCAAGAAGAGCCAGGAGAAGGTGGCCAAGACGGCGAGCAGCAATCCAGCGGCCAAGCAGGCACCACAGCCCGCTGCCGCAGCTCCGACTCCGTCTGCGTGCCTGGAGCTGGACGCCAAGGCGGCGGCGGCGGCGGCAGCGGCAGCGGGCACGCCCGGACGCAAGGGTCTGCCCATGCCGCAGGCGGTGGCGCGTCGCAATGCGCGTGAACGGAATCGCGTCAAGCAGGTGAACAATGGATTCGCGCTGCTCAGGGAGCGCATACCCGAGGAGGTGTCCGAGGCCTTTGAGGCGCAGGGCGCCGGCCGGGGTGCCAGCAAGAAGCTGTCCAAGGTGGAGACGCTGCGCATGGCCGTCGAGTATATCCGGAGTCTGGAGAAGCTGCTGGGCTTCGATTTTCCGCCGCTGGGCTTCCATGCGAACAGCTCGAGCAGCGGCGACGACAGCTTCATGTTCATCAAGGACGAGTTCGATGGCCTGGACGAGCACTTTGATGATTCGCTCAGCAACTACGAGATGGAGGAGCCGCCAGCCGTTGCAGGAGCCACCAGCCAGACGTTGCAGGAGCAGTCGCAGGAGCAGGAGCAGCCAGAGCAGCCAACTCAGAGCAACAGCAATGACCTGCTGCCCTGTGTGACGACCCTCAATGGGCTGCAGTACTTGAGGATACCGGGAACGAACACCTACCAGCTGGTGACCCCCGATATGCTGGGCAGCAGCTCCAGCCTGGATGGGGGGATCAGTTCGGTGCCTTAATTGACACAAATTGCCTGAGCAGCAATGCCAGTCCCGATCCCCCTGCCATGGCACTGCCGATTGCAGCTGCCCGAAGCGGTTCGAACTTATCGCGATCGCCCGTGCCACCATCAGCTGCAGAGGCAGGGGCAGCCACCACAAGCAGTCCTTGCACATCCCCAATACAGCGAGGCAGTTCATCAATGCCTCAACCAGCGAGCGGCAATGCGCCCGAAACAGTTTCAGCTTCAGTTTCACCTGTCGCCGTTGCTAATGAACTCCTGTTGCAGGCGTGTGCCGCCCAGCTGCAGCAGCAACTGATCAAACAGGAATACGCCAACAGCAGGGCCAACACCAACACCAACACGCAACACGAATGGCAGCTCACCGACAACATCCCTGAACTACTCACAGGAGCAGGCCCAAATGCTGTGCTCGCCCATACTGCCCGCCTTCTACGACCAGGAGCCCGTCAGCTTCTACGACAATGTGGTGGTGGGGCTGCCCAGCTTCAAGAAGGAATTCAACGATATGCTGCACCAGGAGGCAGCGGCTGGCACGGCAGTCGGATCAGTGGGCGGTGGCTGTCTCTCCGACGAGAGCATGATCGATGCCATTGACTGGTGGGAGGCGCACACGCCCAAATCGGAGACGGGACCGACATCCCACTCCAACGACACATCAGCAGTGCTCATGTGATCCGAATCGAATCGGATCGGAATATATATATCTGTATAGCTATAGCGGAATTATGTAGGTTTTTTTTTTTTTTTTTTTTTTGTGTATTTGTTTTGCTGCTGCGGATCCTTGACCGAGTCATTGTGTGTGTATATAGTAGATGTAGGAAAGAGACGTGCAGAGATCCAGAGCACCGCTCGGTGTACTTAGTCATTTAGTGATACAACAAAACCAAAACAACTAACCAAATCGTACCCCCACCCACCTTTACCCACCAACAACCCACCCCCCACCCCCCACAATAGTTAACCTATTTATCTATATATGTAGTATATCTAGCGAGCTAAGCACTTCATTCTATATTTTTTTTTTATTGCCTGTTTAGTTTGGTAAGATTAATTTTTTTTGCATAGATCTAATTGAATGCCCCCGAATGTTGAGTTGATAAGTGAAGATATATACATACATACATACATATATACTATACACATACATACATATATATTTAATGTGTACACTGTACATACATACATACATCAAATGCAAAAATATATATATGAAAAATCAAATGATAATCAAATCGAAATTTATTGGCGGAAAAAGAAAGTTACCCAGCAGCTACCTATCTTAAGTGAGAGCATTGAATCATTGAAATTAAAATTAAAACAAAACCATTTAAACATTTAAAAGTTGGGTAAACCAATTATGGATACATTTTGCTGCTCAAAAGTAGACCAGAAAGAGCTTTAGTAATTTTTATATGAACATAAAAAACTTGTTTCATCTTTCAGAAATTTGTAGTCACCTTTGGTAATGCCCCAAAAATTCATAGAATTCATGCACGATATTTCTGAGTTATTATTGCTATGCTTTATGGCTATTTAGTGTTCGTTATCGACAGCCATAGATCTCAATGCCAAGCGGATCAAACAGCGTTTCCCAGCGCTGATCCTGCGTAGATCAGATCAGATGTCGAACAGCTTAAATGTGCCCAAAGTCCCTGCTAATGGCACAGTCAGTGGCAGCAGCAGGGGAAAGCCTGGCTCGGAATGGGTGGGAATCGCAGCAGTCTGACCCATTCCGTGCCACAGTGAAAACTGAATACGGCATACAAAAAAAACTATAAATAAATAAAAAAAAAGGAGAAAAGGAGAAGGAGAGTGGTAGGGAATCAGCATATCATGTTCATTTTCATAGGCGGCCAAGCATGCAGGGACACAGCGCTTGATGGATAGATAGATGGAGATAGATGTGTGGAGAGGGAGAGCGAACAAGATGGAGATAGATTTGCATATCAGGGTGGCAGGGCGGTAGGGCGGCAGGCAGTCAGGGCTTCGGCGCTTCAGGGCTCTGCCATGAGCTGGTAAGGCACTGCGCTTGAGTGCGCCGCTTACTTTATATTCAAATGAGCCTCATGTCCATGTCCTGATAAATGACAGTGGCATATGCCCACCGAGACTGAGACCGGGCAGGGCCGTGCCGTGCCGTGTCGTGTCGTGTCGTGCCCGGCCGAGTTACGGCCTCCAGGGACTGCAACGTGGGAATGCAAATGGGAATTATTTTGTAGGCATTATCCCGCAAGTGTTGTTCGGGATTCGTTTGTAACGGTCCAATTTAAACAGGCGCCTAATGACAGTGTAATTAAGAATGCACCTCAGCCAGCTCAGCCCGAGATAGCGACTCGCCTGCATATTGATGAGGGATCTTGGAAATCCTGAAGAACGGCAACCGCAAGAGGTCGCTCAAATTTCGAGGCATTCCCATCAAAATTGAAGTTGCATTGATCGAGCTGGCACTCAATAAAGTTGATTTTTGTGTAGCAAAAGGCTTAAGGTAATTTATGGAATTATCTGTGCGGGCATCTTGTTCAAGGTTTCCCTTTTTTAATGAATTTCACACACTTTCCTTTGGTTTTAATATTGTTATACTTAAGCATGGATATTCATGGCATTCTAAAAAATTTCTGGAATGTTCCAATCCACTTTTTAAAGTGAGTATGAGCCAATAAACATCCATGGTTGCTTTTTTATAATTTTAGGAATTTCCCTGCTCATATTTGGGATTCTATTTATATGTGGAAAATATGCTAGCATTCAGATCCATTTTTGTACGCAATTATATTATTAATAATAATAATACATATATACTATAAATAAATCTTGGCAGACTGATCGTAGAGGGAAGACAACAAATCGTACCCCCAACCACCCGTAAATCCCACGTAAATCTTTCTCACCCTCATCTTGATCCTCTGGCTTGGCTGGCTTGGCGCTAGACACTCGGCTAATTGTATGCAGTTTGCATTGTCCTGTGCCTGGGTGTCTCCTGCTGCTGCTCGCTGCCTTTCGGACAGCTGCCAGGACTCGAGGCACAAAAACGAGAGAAAATAAACAGAAAAACCCGCCAATGCAAAAGGATAAATGATGCAAAATTATCCAAGACACACACAGGCATGCCGAGGGGGAAACACAATGAGGAAAATCAATTGAAAATCGTTTGCCCATAAAGATGCCCAACGAAGAAGAACCTCGTTGGCCTGTGCCCAAGATGGAGTGGGGAACGAATGACGCAAGCCGTGCATCTGCAGTTCCCAAGCCGATCTTTACCGTTCAGTTGGGTTCGGTTCGGTTCGGTTCGGCTAGGAGTAATAGCTAATAGGAGTCTGTGTGCATGTCTGTGTGTGGGTTAGCTGAGGATCAGTACTGTGCGCCTACAACCCCCTCGAGTGTCCCATCTACCAGTTTCCAGTTTCCCGTTTCTCGGCTATCCCCTGTCTGGCCTGGTCCCCTGTCCCAGCCAGGTGTGTTTGCCCAGGCTCGTTCTGCAGATACATTTTCATTGGGTCTCCTTTGTGGGTGCCCTTGCCCTGGAGGTAACTGTTTGCCGATCTGCCGTTAGCAGTGAAAATCTGCTAGCTGCTGGCACCGTTCTGCACCGTTATGATTATTAAATATTGATCCCAGGTAATGCGACACCCCCTCTCTCTATCGCTCTCTCTCTATCGTACACCTTCGATTTTGTTTCTCGTATTTCCAATTTTCCATTCGATTCACAAAAATCAATTTCAGACGCGTCTTATATTTTTTTTTGTTTTGTTTTGTTTTCTATTTTGTGAATGGAAAAAGGCTTAGGACAGATGAAATGCTCTGTTGCTCCCTGTTCCCTGCTCCCAGCTCACCCCTGCACATTCCCGTTGCCGTTGCCGTTCCCGATCGGAACTCGTGTCCTTCGCTGCCCGGATTCGATTACAGAGCACTGACTGGGTGCTGCTCCTCTGTGCTGCTCCTCTGTGCTCTGCTTTGGCTGCTTTTGATTTTTGCCGTATGGCAAGTACAGTTATGCGATCGGTTCACGCCCCCAGGGCGAGGAGTCGGGCCGGGCCGGGCCGGGCCGCACATGTCACCATTGAATATTCATAAATCATTTCGTGTAATAACTCATTATTACGATACGATCCGTTGCCGTTGCCTTTGCCGTTCCTGTTCCCGCTCCCATTCCCATTTCCCCGTTTCCTTTGCCGCTCTTGATTTTGTGCTCATTTAGCGTGTGCGCATGCCCATGCCCATGCCCCTGAGTTGCTTGGATTCCCCCCAACTGCCGTTGCCCTCTTGTCACCGGCTCGGGGCATATTACATTACCATTGCCATAGCTACAGCCAGAGCCAGAGCCACAGCCACAGCCAGGTGCTACGCACAGATCGAGCTTGGGGCCAAGCACGCGCTGGCAGCCTCGCATTTCGATTGTAATTATGACAGTTAACGAGTAATATTCGATTGGATAGGGTGATATATTGCCTGCATAGAGCCCAAGATATCTAAGACCTGGGGGGGCAAAAAGAAGTTCAATTTAAGAGTCTCTAATATACTCGAATGTTTATGGATTAAATAGAATACAATAAAATAGAATAGAAAAATATAGAAATAGAATAAATAGAAGTGTTGTGGGAGGCAAAAATCCACCTTAGTTTAGTTTTGATGATGCACGATATCAATAGAGAAATTATGGCCTGAAAAGTGCACCAATAGAAATGAGAACACAAGAGAAGAAATAAATAAATAAAATAAAAAAAATTAAAGAAATAAAAAAAAATAATAAATAAAATAAAAAAAAAAAAAAATGATAATAATTATAGATTAAATATTAATACCAGATAAAGTAATTTATGGACCTATTTTTCAGCATATTTTACACATAAATTTATGGCATATGGAACTTTGAAGAGCGATCGCTGCATGGCTGAGGCAACCTCTGACCAAGAAACCGTGGAGTAACTGCAAATAAATAAACTAAAATTAATGTGATATTAATTGCAGTTAGCTGACATCTCCTGCCAATTCATTGATGCCATTACTGACTGAAAGGCGAGCTAAGCAAAGAGGAACCCAACCCAAACCCAATACACATGTAGAGCAGCTCGTGCTAGATTTCATTCATTCATTCATTCATTCAAATCTCAAAAGAGTTCTTGCTACTTGTTCAAGTGTCTGATCCGTTGATCCTTGGTTTTGATCTGATTTCTTAGCCCAGTGGCTTGGGCCAAGAGTTAAGCCTCATTTAGGCATGGCCCAGCGTGGACTTTGCTGCTCCGATCTCCGCTGGCAATTACATATATTTTTGGGCATACTTAAGCTCTTTGCTCTGCGGCCTATCGTGCCGCAGGCTGTGCTCTCTGCGCTGTCTGTGCTCCTTGGAGTGGACGCACTTCAGGCCACAATGAGAGCCACTTAAGTGTGCGCTTTGTGTCTAAGTCCTTAAGCGCTTAAACCGCAAAATGGAAACCAGGTCAAGAGGCCTGAGACAACGGCTGTGAGCACTCTGGACTCTTGGACTCTGGTTAACACTTTCCAGAACCGCTTAGCCTGAGCTACAGCTAAGCCCTCCGCCCACCGTCCACCGTCAACCACAATGAGATGATCTCCTGCGCATTGCGGCTGACAGAAATTGAGTTAATTTCATTCATGACTCGAGTTCTGGCGGTGGTTCTGGTGCCATATTGTCCGCATATCAACATTTGCCCGGGCCCCAATGAATGGCATAAGGACAACATCTGTTGTTGCTGCTGCTGCAGAAACTGATTCAATTACAGATTGAAACGGGAACGGCAACGGGAACAGTTGTTCAGTTGCCCCCCCCAAGCCCAGGCCTGGCCTGGCCGCACATGTGTTTCCAGGACATTTTCCCATTTCCCTGATGCCAGTGTCTGTCTCCACGTGTGTCCCAGCCCGGCACTCTCTGTCTTTCTTCTTCTCTGCTGTTTTGACTAATGCACTCGGGGTGGCCTCAGCTCAGCTCAGCTCTGCTCTCGGCATTGAGTCATCAAACGCTCGGCTCTATGACCAACAGAATTTTGACAGCTCTTGGCCAGGCCATTCAATGAGGACGGCACTCCAGGAAGCGTTTTCTGCAGTTTTGCATTGCCATTGATTGAGTCATCCTTGCCGTCCCGCTTGTCCCGCTTTGTTCGCTCTGCCACTTCCCCTGAAGCTGCATTGAACTTGACAAAATGAGTATCGGTGTGGTTCGGTTCGGTTCTGGGTTCTGGGTCCGGGTCCCAGCTCCCTGGCCAGGTGTGGGGTCCTTCAGGGAAGCGCACTCACAATGACAACGCCACTCGCCAGCCAGTGAATGGCCACACGACGGGCATCGCATCCCGGAAACGGCTCAATCATTGCACACCAACTGATCCAAACTCGCGAACCAAAGTGGAGTGGGATGTGGGAATCAGTTGACAATTAAATAAATTCAAGCTGGTCAAGCAGCAGCCAGCTCGAAATTTCACAATTTCTTTGCCTAGAAAATGTTTAAATTTCATAAACGTTGCAAAATCGAAGGAAAGTAGTTGGAACGATCGGTAAAACTTTCCAAATTGGACTACCAATAAATGGAGCTCTTTGAAACGAAAACGTCTGTTAAAATGTATCCACCAATCTTTTGTTTTCCATGGCACACCAATAGATTATCTGCCGAATTATGAAGGAAAATTATTTTCAACATTTAAACACATTTAAATATATTTAAATAGATTTTACACTGAGTCAGAGATGCTGTAGTTTGAACAGAAAGAGAAACCGAAACAGAGGCAGCCGAAGGCCTCCCCTAATTATAATTAATTTTCATAATATTTCGCAATTTCTTTAAGTTAATTTAAATAAGCAAATAACAAATGAGAAACAGTTGCTTTTACTTTATCAGGTTGGATTTGCTGAGTTCAGTGCATTACAAGGAACCTCTTTAACGTCTTTACGGCTATCAAAATGGCTATTAAAATGTCAAACTTCTTGCTTTGAAATTTGATCTGTGAAGCTACTCTTTTTCCTATTTATTTATAATTATTTGTTATTTATTTATTTTCCTTTACTGCTCGCACGCAATCAGATACATATTGATATGCCTATTGCGAGTATCTGCCATATGAGGACTCCCAGACATTTGCTCAATTCAATGCCCATTTGAAGTCCCAGCTAACATTAAATTACAATTTATTTATAAATGATTTCCCTGCCAGCACATGCCAAAACTGCCAGATAATAGAACATAAAAGTTTCCATTTTATGGTAGTTGCTTGCAGCCATTAACCCTATGCCTGGATCTGTACGGCGGTCATCAAAGCGCCCACCACAGTGTCACGCATGAAGGTCATCCGAGTCTGTCCTAAAAGGGTTTTCACCCGCCATAAAAAACTAAACGAATGTACACAAACATCCGGCTGGCAGCCTCAAAAAAAAAAGAAATGGCAATGGTGCTCGCATTGGATTACTGATGATCGAACCATCGAAGCATCGGCTGGACGGTGGGACACAGGTACAGAGCACAAGGCACAAAGTGCAGGAGGCAGACGTAATTAAATTGGTAACCGTAGCCGTTGGCGGCGGCGGCGGCGGTTTGGTTCGGTGTCGGTGTCGGCGCTATTTGCCTAGCGCAAAAAAGGACAATGACCAAACAGAATCGATGTGTGTGCTGTCGGAAGGAAGGACGAGAACCAGGACCTGCTGCATGGCCTTTTTTTTACGTTTTGTTGGGATGCTGCGCACCCGAACGGGTTCATTAATCGTGTTTGGCAACTGTGAAAACGGGAAAGGAAGTGCGCAAGAAACCGAAAGGATTTCCGCTTTGTTCCCCCCCCTCACCATCACCCCCACCCCTCAGCACATCTCATCTCGTTCCGTTTCGTAATCCGATGCTCGTTAATCGATGATCGAGCGAGGCGGAAGATCGGCTAGGACACCAACCAAAAGTGAAAGCCGACTCCCCAGCGCAGCATCCAGTTAATCATTGCAAGCCAATGACATGGCGAGAATTGCGCATATAAAACTGAAAATAAAGATCGCGCTGCCAGAGCCTGATCAGATCCAATTGCGATAAGCTGCTCTCGATTGGCGGACAATGGCATTTTCATTTGTCAGCCGCTCGTTGCGATCGTTGCGATTAATCGCGTTACAAATCGCCGCTGCGAGTGCCCTCACGAAATGAGGTGTCGACTTAAGTGAGCAAAAGGGCAGGAGATCTCCAGCTCTCCAGCACCAGCACCAGCTCCAGCTCTCCAGCTCTTACGTCTCCTCTATCGCTGCGTAATGCTAACAAATATGCGTGGGTCCCAGACAATCCAGCGATCGGAACAGCACAATGCCTTTTGCCCTTGGTCGGTGCTTGGGGCGGCATCAATATTTTGACACTGCCCATCGGTTTTGCGGCTACAGATTGCGTCGCATTAGCGCATTACCCAATGCCCAATGAGAGGGGCCAGATAACTGCCAGATATCGAAGATCGAAGCTGCATCGGAGCTGTGTGTTTCCTTCTGTGGCATGGGGGAAGTTTGAGTGCTGTACGAGCATCTTTGAGCTGCCAGTGAAGTTCTCTTGTGTCGTATACATTATTGAAATATTCTTTATTCAAAATACCAAAATAAATCAAACCAGAATGTGCTTCAAATTAATCATTTGTGCAGCTCCATTGGCCGCTTGCGTTGGCGTAAGTATATTTTTCATATTTTTTGGGTTTCATTCAAACCATGTGACTTAATAAATATTACAGTAGATGGAAAAAAAAAATTAGAAATCACACTAATTGGCTAGGCAAAAAAAAAAAAACAAAAAAAGCAAAGAAGAAAACAGAAAGGGTTCTTTTTGAAACGATAAAAAAGAAGGAAAAGAAATAATTATGGCGGCACCCATATGGGGGGCACACACAGTTTTTTTGCGTAGCATAGTGGGGATTAGGATCCGATATAGGCGCACCACCAGCGGTTATGACCAACAAAAATGGGTGTAGTAAACATTATAACATAGGCAAAAAAAAAAAACATGAAGCGATTTACCCAGTGGTTTGGGACCCATCACTCACGTGGTTGACTCTCTGGCTGACTGGCGGCTACTAACTGTTCGGTTTCATTTCGTTCAGGATCGGTTCGGTTCAGTTCGGTGCGGTTCGCTTTCCTCATCGTTATCCTCCAGCATATATACAGAGTTGGATCGTCTGGTGGTGTTGGTGTTGTTGTTGTTGTTGTTGTTGTTGTTGGTGGTGGGTGTTGGGTGGTTGGATTAGATAGCCCTAAGCGACAGTCGCGTACTTGCGCTTCTCCAATGAGATGTTGAAGCCATTCTCCAGCTTGAGAATGATGTCGGCCTGCAGCTTAAAGTCCGCCTCCGTGTCGGTCGAGTGGACAATGTAGTTGCGCACGATGGTGGAGAGCAGCACCTTCAGCTTGAGCATGGCATACTTGCGGCCCACACAGCTGCGGGGACCGGCACTGAACGGAATGAACGAGTAGTAGTGCCTGTTGGCCATGCGCTCGGGCAGGAAGTTATCCGGATCGAACTTGGTCGGATTGGGGTAGATGTCGGCCCGTCGGTGCACACAGTACTGCAGCACAATGACGGTGGTGCCCTTGGGCACGGTATAGGGGCCGCTGGCCAGCTTCAGGTCGTAGTCGAGGCGGCGGGCAATCAGTGGTACTGGTGGATACAAGCGCAGAGTCTCCAGAATGACACGCTCCAGGTACTTCATTTCGGCGGTGTCGGCGAAGGTGCAGTCGCGCAGCATGTTGTCGCCAAAGATGGCCTTCTGCTCGGCAAATACCTTCTCCTGGATGTCCTTGTGGATGCCCATCATGCAGAGGGCAAAGCTGGAGCCGGCCGATGTGGTGTCGTGACCCTCAAACATAATCGTGTTCACCTCATCGATGATGTCCTTCTCGTTCCACTCGATATCGGGATTCTTTGCCATCTCAACCATGGCATCGAGCAGGGCCAAACGCCGCTTGGCGCCCACATCGTTCTCATCGATGTCATCGAGATCGTCGCGCAGTCCCTCCTTCTTGGTGGCCGGCGTCGCCACGGCCTGCACCTCCTCGACAATGGCGCGCGACTCCTCCTGGAAGTTCTGCTTGCGATCCTTCACCACCTTGCTGGTCATGCCCAGAATGATGTTCATCATGCGGTCACCCTTCTCGCGCAGCTTGGTGAACTTGTAGATGGAGTCCAGGCGGTACAGCAGCTTCACCTGCCGCTTGTGGATGATGTCGCACATGTCGACCACGGCCTGGGCATACTCGAAGCTCTTGTTGCCATCGGGCAGCTTCTTCACACCCATGGCAGTGGACAGCAGAATGTCGACGGTGGTCGTGGACATGTAGTCGTGCACATCGAACGATTTGCCCGTCTCCAGGCCCATGCGACCCACAACCGTCTTCGAGTGTTCGACAAAGGTGGGCACGAAGCTCTTCAGGATGCTCTGATGGAAGGTGGGGGCAATCATTTTGCGATGGTGGCGCCAGTGGTGTCCGTTGCTGATCAGCAGACCATCGCCGAACCAGGGCTTGAAGTAGCGATACTCCTCGGCCTTGGTCAGATGCTGGTGTCCGCTCAGTATCAGCTCAATGTCGTTGGGATTGGTGAGGAAGACAAGCAGGACATTGCCCAGCCATGTCTTCATCGTTTCGCCGTACTTGTTCAGGTAGCCGAGACCCACATTCAAAATCTCGGCATTGCTCAGGCCGGCGACCATGTGAGCCTGTCCCAGCAGCGGCAGTCCCGGCGGCGACGGTATGTTGGCCACCATGCGGTATTCGCGGGTATTGCGGCGCCAGTACTCGTACAGTCCCAGGGCCACTATGGTGCCCACCAGGGTGGTGAGCATGGGACTGAAGCCGAGTCCCGATGTCGATGTGGCCGCATGTTTCAGCGTCTCCTGCACCGTGTCCACTGTCATTGTTAGCTGCGTCCTTCCTTACGGTCTTCCTTCCTAGTCCGCTAATCCTCTGGTTGGGCTCTAGGTGGCACTGTTGCGTCTCGCTGTCAGTGCTCAACTGTGGTGCTAAACGGGCCGATGGTTCAATTTTATGCCCGCCGGCCACTGCCTCCGACTGCTCTGGGGGCAAGCCAAGAGTCAAGCGTATTCCGGGCCGGACCGTGCCGGGCCCATCGGCTGGCGGTGAATTAGCAAACCAAATCCATGTCACGTATTCGTGATTGCCCTTTGGAAGCTCGGAAGCACTTGCCCGAGTCGTAATTGTCGGCGATGGGTCGATGGTTCGATCGACCGATCGCTCATTGATTTTGCAACACACACGGCCATGGAAAGTGAGCGCGCGCGCGCACACTCTCTTCCGAGTGCTTCCTGCGGAAGTGCCCAGCAGAGGCCGGCAGGATGCTGGCTGGATTCCGTGCTGGCTGGGAATGGGTATGCAAAGTGGTTCTGCGGTTAGTGGCTGATGACTGATGGCTGTTCGCTACCTGTGCCTGTTGCCTGTGATTTACCTGCTGCTTGTGCCGAACGGAAGTGGGTGATCTGCCTCGGCGCTGTTGTTCCCCGTTTTCGGGTTGATCCTGTTTGCCGTGCCGTGTTTTGCTTTCGCTTTTCATTAAATTCAATTTCGGCGCTTTTGTTCGCAACACCTGAACAAAAATTCAAAAATTCAAAAATTACAACAAAACACAAAGGCCATGGAACTGCAAACAAAAGGAAGGAAGCTGTCGCTTTTATTATCCTACAGTGGAATACCTTCTCCTCCTCCTCCCACTGCTGCTGCTGCTGCTGCTTGCCAGAGGAATCTCCATGATCTCCGTTTCTGGTGTTTGTTTTTTTTTCAAGTGATCCTTTTTACTATTTATTTTCATTGGCAATTGGATTGGATTATTTCAACAGAGTTCCACAGAGCGCGTGTTCAGAGCGTGTGCACTTCTCTTCTCTTTTCAGCCTGAAAGTTATTATGTAAACACATACATACATACATATGTATGTTTGTATGTACATGCACAGCACAACGCCCAGGCCTAAATTTATCCAATTGTTTTCTAGCAATTTCATTTTAAGCTGACCCCCAATCACAGCCCAATGACGCCACGTGGCAATGGAATCTGCGTGGTATAATTTAATAAGAAAGAATCCAATTCACATTCCAAAATATATCCAATACAATTCTGATTCGCCCGTCTGCATCTTTTCTCAGTGTCATCGATCAGCTGACCCATTTCGACAATGCCCTGCTTGCACTGCTTGCACAAAACGTGAGTTCCAATTTAAATTCAAATATGAAAATTTAAAGAAAAGAAAATCCCACACAACAAGAGTTGATGATCGGCCATGCCCATGGGGACAGGGTCTGTTCTGTTCTGCTGTCCATTTTGAAGAAATTTCAATCTCTCTAGTTGATCCTTGGCACTGGGTTCGGGGGATCAACACAACTTTTGGAGGTGAGGCCTGCGCACTGGAAAAGGGTTTGAATAGTTTCCATAAATCGCATTGGAGGCCACAAGGTTACCTTTGCCCTTTACCCTGCAACCGAACCGACACAGTTCAACCAACGCAACAAAATAATTCAGAACCATCTAAGAGGTTCCATACCCCACAATACTATCATCACCCTGTTTTTTTTCTTTGTTTGTTGTATTTAAAAGGTAGAAATAGTTTTATTGCATTTTTGATTAAATTGAACGGTCTTCTCAAAACATTTCTAAATTCAAAGAATTAAAATTAACTAAAATCGAATCGGTTTGGATTTGGATTTGCAGTGATTTCTGTAGTTGATGTTGTGTCTGTCGCTTTTTTGTTTTCTTTTTTCTTTCGATTTTGCATAAATAAATGACATGGTTGTGTGAGTATGTATGCGTGTGTTGTTGCTGATGACGCAGCTGATTTACACAATTTGATATATGCTAATTAATTTATGTATATGAATACGTATGCATACATATGTCTGCTTGTATTTATATAGATGTAGATGTAGAGGTATACACTAGATGCTAATTATATGCAGGTATGACTTTTATCGATTTGCACTGATAGCAAAACCAAACATAGCTAATATCCATGTACGAGTTATGTATGTTTGTATGTATGTAATAATATTATGTAGCAGATAATGATACAAAAAAAAATACAATATGTAATCGTTTGATTTTACATAAAATTATGTTCTCTTTTTTTCTGTTTTCTTTAACGGAATCGCGCATTACAAGCTAAACAATGTCTTTTATCGATTGAATGAATTTTGTTTTCACAAAAACATGCCCCAAAATAATACAAAAAATTATATATATAAAATAGAAAAATATAAAACTCAGGCGGCGGCGGGCGCGGGGTGCACCACAAATGACTTTCGATGACAAGGAACAAAGCGTACAAAAAGCAGACGGGGGGCACGGGACTGGGACTGGGTCTGGGACTGGACAGGGGAAAGACGTAGGTGGGACGCGAATAAAAGAGCTAAGAGCTGAGCACAAATGACACAGGAGTTTAGGCAAGGCACATGACCCCCCCATGGAAGAGGCACGACAATTGGAGAGTATGGCATACACGAAGCAAAAACATAAAGCATAGAATAAAACTGATTAATTGATACGCAAGAGAAGTAAAGGGGACTAGGAGGTCAACATGTAAGCATATTACACAAGTCAAAAGTCAAACCGAGCGGGTGATTAGTTGGGATTGGGATTAAGCATAGTATAGGACTGGGGTAGGCGCCTACGTTGTCTCACTGAGATGCACACAGTGGGCATCTTGCATCAATTGCGTGAGTCTCTGCGTAAACGTTGGAATGTCCTGCAACAGAGAGAGATAAAAAAAACAAAATATAAACCTCTCGTTTCTGCGTGGACTGGACAACGCTTTGTACTCACACTTGTCTGGCAGATCTCCTCGAGCACCGTCTGTGCCACCGGCAGCGAGGCATGGGCAAAACTTTCGAGCAACTGCCTGCGATCCACCTGGCCCATGGCATACAGCGCCTGGGCAATCATATCGAAGTGCAGGCTACCCTCGCCACTCAGCAACAGATTGAGCAGGGCCCGCTGAAACGAGGCCAGCAGCTGCTCCTTGAACAGGGCCCGCTGGTACAGACGACTGCGCTCGTTCACATTCTGCATGGAGAAGAGCACGCTGCGCACATTGCTGGGATCTGTGCCGCTGACCAGCATCTGGCCGTAGGCATTCAGTATGGCCATGAAGTGTGCCGGATGCAGGTTGTCGCTGCAGTTGAAATTGTTCGAGCCGCCACCAACGCTAGCGCTATGCCCGTTGGACAGCTGGTTCTTGTAGAAGAACTGCCACTTGCAGGTCAGCACACTGTACGAAATGGGAAGAGAGAGTAAAACAGTTGACAATAAGAAGGGATACGGAATCTACGGAGCGGAATGAAGCTCACCTGTCGAACAGGGCGTAAAGCAGGCTGGTAATCTCACTGCTATCGGTGGCAGCATTTTGTTGCTGCAGCAACGGCAGTATCTGCTGTGTGCTAAAGTCCAGAATCGAGGGCAGCAGCCCCAACGAGGCGCTGCCCGGCTGTTCCACAATCAGCTTAAACATTTGCAGTATCTTTTCCATCACAGCCAGGCGGCTCAGCGTCAGTTGTTCCCTTTTATGATGGGGTGGGGGCAGGCCAAACCAACACGAGCACGAAAGAGAAAGAGAGACAAATAAAAGAGTTAGTCTGAATCAGAAAGAGAGAAAGTCATGGAATGGCTGCTGCCAACCTGCTGCTGACGCTGATGAACAGCGTGATCATCTCCTTGATGAACTGGGCGCCCAGATGCGTGGGCAACGATCGCAGCATGCTCAGACTGAACTCGGCCACCGTAATGGCCATGGCAATGCTGCTCAGGCCATAGCTGTTGAAGATCGTCAGGGCCTTGTTCAGGATGGGCTGCAAAGGTAGCGGAAATATTAGCTGGTCCTGCATTCTTGTGTTTGACTCTGTGTGACACACCCACCTTGAAGGTGCTGGCCAGCATGTCCTTGGCATTGCCGCCAGTGGCCTTGAAGTACTCGATCAGGGATGTGAATGTGCCAAGCAGGGTGAGCGTGGTGGCCGTCACCTTGCTCTCGCCAGCCAGACTCAAATCGAGCTCGAGAAAATTCTGGGCCAGGCCCTGGATGTACTCGCGCAGCATCCACTGGCGCCGCTGGTAGTCCTGCTGCTGCTCGGGCACACACTTCCAGGGCAGCACCATGTAGCTCACTAGACTGATGTGCACATTGATGCAGACCTGGCGGGGCAGTTGCGTGCCCAGGCGTGGGCCGGCCTGCAGCAGGCTCTGGATCTGTGGAATATCCAGCAGGCACTTGGGCCGTATCACAGTTGAGATGAAGAGCAGCAGCTCGCTGGCCGCCTGCTGCACAATGGGCGAGGCGGCCGACAGCGAGTTATTGTAGGCAAAGATGCTGCCCAATATGGCGAAGAGGCGATGCAGCAGCTCATCGCTGCTCATCGCCTTCGACAGCGGGAAGATGCTGCGTATGGCCAGCAGAACTTGAGCGTAGCTGGAAGATTAAGATTAAAGCACTTGAGTGGCAGCCACTTGGCATCCAAATGAATCGCTTACAGGTTATCCAAATCAGTCTGAAAGGTGGCCTTGTCCATGTCCGTTCCCCCGATGCGATTGCTGGCCAAGAGCTGCAGCGTCTGCAGCAGGCTGTCGGAGAGCATTTGCAGCTGGGCCTCCATCTCGTCGGCCACACCGGGTGCGGCCGTCGAGGTGTCCATCAGCGGGGCCAAGCGCACCACCGCCTGGCAGACGGTGGCAAAATCGCGCAGTATCTCGCCCACATTGGCATGCTTGAGCTTACGGGCTGCCTCATAGGAGCGGCTGCTGCCATGGTCAAGGGCATGCTCCAGCGACATCAGATACATCTGAGGACGTGACCAGTGGGCAAAGACTTGTGCGAAGACAATGTGAGCGCCCCGAGTGCTGGCCAAGAGGGCGAGGCACTCGAAGCATTGGTCAAGGAACTGCTGCCACTCGGTGGTGGGCGTCTGTCGTCCCATTAGAAAGAGAAGCAACAATCAGTTGGATTAATTGGATTGAACGGGAAAATACTTACATCATCCTCCATAAGCTCGTTATCCAGCACCTCCAGTTCGGGCTTGTTCGCCTCGAACTGTGTGCGTCGCATGATCTCATCGACCAGCTGCGTGAACACATGATTAAAGCGCGTTATTTTTGCCGGCTGCTGGGCAATACCCTTGATAATCGGCGACCAGATATCCAGTTTCTCTGTAAAGTCAAGAGCGCCATGCACTGCAGATGGGATTGAATGGCTTAGGCATAAGGCATAAGGAAACAAAAAGTGGAGGCTCACATTCTGTGGTGCAGCCGTAGAGCTGATTGAGAAATGTCTCGAGCACCTCCGGCTCCTGCATCAGCTTTCCCGCATATTTTGTGGTATAGAGACGCAACAGCTCACGAAACTTGTCGCTGTACATCTCGCTCTGCTGCTTGTTGACGTTGTGCTGCTCCAGCAGACTGCTGACGCCGCCCATCAGGGTGCCCGCATAGGGCAGCGGCTTCTGCAGGTAGAGCAGCTCGTTCAGCACTGAGAGGGCGGCCAGGGAGATGGGCTCGTTGGCGGGCCGCCATTGTGATAGATCGAGTATGCTCATTAGGAAGTACTCCGAGATCAGTTCAGTGCGTATCCAGGAGACCAAATGTTGCACACAGCCGAGCAGCTCCAAAATAGAGGAACTGCAATGCACACAGGCATAATTAATGAATGGATATAACTGGCTAACTGGCTAGCTAGCTGTTTGCTTCGCTGTCTGTTGGCTCTGCTGGATGGGGCTGGGGGGGGCCATACATACCTTAGTTGATTGTCATTTGGCAGCGCTGAGGTTAGACTAAAGTCCATGAGGGTGTTTGGTATGGTCGATTGGATGTCTTTGCCGTTGATGTGGCAGACGGCGATTAGTAAATATTTGGTGACTAAGTCCATTACATCGGGTATACACATGGAAATGCTGAAACACACACGACACCCAGAAACAGATGGTAGAGGAGTGGCCAATGCCAATGCCAATGCCAATACAGAGGCAGCGGGATTAGTGCACAATTCAGATCCGGGACAAGAACAAACAACGTGTGAGTGATGCAGGATGCAGGTATCACAGCCACTTACCAGGAGTAGAAGTACTGTTTCCATTCGGTGGTCAGGTCGCCGCGATTACTCACCACCTCCTCGGACGTGACGCGCAACAGATTGATGCCAAGGGGAAAGCGGGTCTTTGTCAGCTCCATGCAATGCTGCATGTAGTTCGGGTCTTGTTCGGGGAACTCGCGTTTCCCCATCAGCGCTATCAGCTGCGCCAACGTATCCCGATGCCGTCGGGCACCATTCAGCATGCCCAGCTGGGCGTAGGTGTTCCACAGAGTTTCGCGCAGCTGGGCTCGATCCGAGGGCGTTAGCTGGGCCCAGCGACGCGTTATCGTATGCTCCAGCGTGGAGGTGCTGAAGAACCAGAGGAACTGGTTATCCGTAAAGCTGTTGCCCGCCGTGGCCACGCGCAGGCACAGCTGCCATGCCTCCGGCTGCGACTTGAAGGCCAACAGATTCGTCTCAATTTCACGTTTGCGTGCATTGCTCGTCGCTGGCTGATAGAACTCGTGCAGCAGCACCTCCACCGTCGACATAGATGCAGCATGCTGTCCAAAAAAGGGAATAGTGTGAATCAACAGCAGAAGCAGCAGTAGCAACAACGGTACCAATGCCAGTTGCACGGCCAATACCAGTGGCAACACCAGCAGCAGCAGCAGCAGCAACAGCAACAGCAGCACCAGCCCAAGCACGGTGGGCGGCGGATGGGAGGAGGCTATGACTTTGACTTACCATTTTTGATATTTGTGGACGACACGTAGGTGCGCGCGACCCCCCGCGGTTGTGTGTGATGTACTTGGTGATTGCGCTTTCAGTCCCTGGGTGGATTTGTGTACATCAGCAGTCGGCGACAGGAAATTTCATGTTTTCTTTGTGTATATAGGAGTCGCGAATTCAGTGCTCTGGCAACAGTTCGATTTGCAGCACTGAATCCAGTGTTAGTAGGCGCGTTTGGGTAGTCTATCGATAGACTATCGGCCATGAATATTTTAAATTACAAACATAGCTATCGATTGCGGTCGATGCCAGCGATGTTTTAAGAAAATACAATTAAGATCCATATGACATTTGCCTGAGAGAAAATGCAATATTAATGTTCTTTTCGTAGCCACAGCCACGGCCAGCAAGACAAGACAACAAAATTGAATCTGACAGTCGATCATTTCTGCCACAGCGCTACTCTCACTTCAACTCACAATCTCGCTCTCTCTGCGTGTTTTTTTTCCTATAAGACTATCTCTGTTTATTGCTGCTAGTTAGCTAGCAAAGTCTGATGCTAGTGTCACATGGCCATACAAAAGCTAGCCAACGATGTTACCATCGATGTTTCTCCAGCTCGAATCGATAGTGCCGGCACAAGCCAATCGATTACTTGTCTGCAATTTAATTAATTTTTGTGTTTGGTTTTTGTTTTGCCCATCATCAATTTACCATTGCGAATTCAATTGATTTGTGTTATTAATGGTGCTTTGCGGAGAAGCTGGCACCCACATGTTGCCCCACAGCAGCGACAAAGGCGACCGATATGCAAAACTCTCGTTCCTGGGCGAGGGTCAGGTGAGTTGTTTGCCGCTAAAAACTTTATTTATTCGATGTTTTATTTCACTTTCCATGCATTTTGTGGCTCTGTAGTTTGCCATTGTGTACAAGGCCCGGGACACGGTGACCAGCCAGATTGTGGCCGTGAAGAAGATCAAGCGTGGCAGCCGCGAAGATGCCCGCGATGGCATCAATCGAACCGCCTTGCGCGAAATCAAAATTCTGCAGGAACTGCAGCATGAGAACATCATCGGGCTGGTGGATGTGTTCGGGCAGCTGTCGAACGTGTCGCTGGTGTTCGACTTCATGGACACCGACCTGGAGGTGATCATCAAGGACACCAAAATCATACTCACGCAGGCGAACATCAAGGCGTACGCGATCATGACGCTGCGCGGCCTGGAGTACCTGCACCTCCACTGGATCCTGCATCGCGATCTGAAGCCCAACAACCTGTTGGTCAATAGCGACGGGGTGCTCAAGATCGGCGATTTCGGCCTGGCCAAGACATACGGGTCGCCAAATCGGATCTACACGCATCACGTGGTCACTCGCTGGTATCGGTCGCCCGAGCTGCTCTTTGGCGCCCGGCAGTACGGCACTGGCGTGGACATGTGGGCCGTCGGCTGCATTCTGGCCGAGCTCATGCTGCGCGTGCCTTTCATACCCGGCGACTCGGATCTGGATCAGCTGACCCGCATCTTCGCCACCCTCGGAACGCCCTCGGAGGCCGAGTGGCCGTACCTGGGGAAGCTGCACGACTATCTACAGTTCCGCCACTTCACGGGCACCCCGTTGCAGAACATATTCACTGCCGCCGACAATGACCTCATTCACCTAATGCGCCGCCTCTTCGCCATGAATCCGCTGCGACGCGTCTCCTGCCGCGAGGCCCTCAGCATGCCCTACTTTGGCAACAAGCCGCCGCCCACCGTCGGTCCGAAGCTGCCCCTGCCCTCGGCCATTGTGGCGGCCAATGCAAAGGCCGACGAGAAGCCCGGCCAAGCGGTCAAGCGGAAGCTGGTGGAGACCACCGTTCGCGGCAACAGCCTGCCACAGAAGAAGCGGCTGCAGTTCTGAGCTTCCGAGCTCCCGAGCTGTCAATCTGCCAAGCTGTCAAACTGCCAAGCTGTTTAGCATTTAATGTAGAGACCTAAGACCGAAGAGACCACCAGGGTCCAAACCATTGTTGAGATCGCATTCAGATCGCGTTAATATTGTCCATTAAAGATGTGAGATACCGAAAGTGAGCCGTACAGTGTGTGTTTGCCCTGGCACCAGATGTCATTGTACTTCGATTGGGTATATCATAGCCCGAAAATTTCCAAAGTAGTTTTTCTCCCCCATAGTCAAAATCCGATAATTGAGCCAAATTTCAGTGTACTTTTCGTTGCATATCTCTCGTTGCAGCTGAAGGCAGCAGGAAGCAGGAAGCAGGAAGGGCAGAACCATGTCCAGCCAGAAACAGACCAAGGCGCCGGGCCAGACCCCGGCCCAGGGGCAAGAGCCGGACAAGCGAACAGCAGACGAAGTGGCGCGACGCCATCGAGCGCAATTGCGATTCACCTACGGGAACATGATATCCAATGCGAATCTGAATCGCATGCGCACCAAGCTCAATGCCTCCGCGACAGACGCGGGACCCACCCACGCAGCCGTTGTGCAAGGAGGAGGCGAAGCGGCTGCCAAAAGAGCATCCGGAGTATCCTCGGAGGGAGCAGCTAATCAATCACTGCGTCGCATCTCCTCCACTTTCGAGTATGTGCGCAATGTGAGGGCCGGCTGCTGCGAGGCCCTGCCCCACGAGGACAACGATGCGGATGGGCGCGAGGAGCGGGCCGAGGTGCTCATTTGCAGCCAGATGATGCCCCAGGCACCAGCCACAGTCACAGCCAAGTCAGTGGAGAAGGAGAAGGATAAGGAGGAGCCGCAGCTGGATGGCTGGGACAGCTGCTATGCAAGGCCACCGGGCTCATCGCGTGCCGTTGAACGCTGGCAGCAGCTGAGCAGCACGGTGACGAATCTGTTCAGTGCCCGCCACTTCGCCAACAGCCCGGAGTCGCCAGTGGCCAAGACGCGACGGCTGCGCGAGCAGCGCGAAATGCTGCAGATCTTCACCAGACCCTTCCTCGTGGATCAACACAAGCGCGAATAGAGATTGTAACCATTGAAAGTCGCCGGCAGCTTTTGTTCTTAATCAAATTCGATTCATTCATTCATTCATTCACCGATACACGATATACATCTCCCTCTATCCATTTCACGTATCTCGTCCATTGGTGGTGGGGTGGGGGGCGGGGAATAGGCAGCACAGCTTGGGGATGGGGTGGATACGCCAACGACTATTGGCAGCGGCATCTGTCGCGCGGACAGTCCGACTCGTAATTGAGGCACTCGTCCATGCAGTAGGTGTCGGCTCCCTCGCGTCCCGCCAGCTCCCCAATGGCCACGCATTCCTGACTGCAAAAATAAAAGTAAAATACAATATAATATAATGGCTGTTTTGTGCATAGCTCGAGCTACTTACGGACAGAAGCAGGCCTCCTCCGGACAATTGGGCGGATAGCGGAGACAGTTGATCTCGCACCAGTGATCGATGCCAGGCAGCGTACGGAATGCCGGTGCCCCAATGCACTTTTGATCGCTGCAAGTAGAAAGAAGTTTGAAGATTCAGCCAAAGCATGCAGCTAAGTGGAGAGGGAGAAGGCGCCTGGAGCTGTGCCGGCAGACTCCCAGAAATGTGTGGATAGCAGGCAGCTGCAACCGCAGCTACGCCTTCAACATTTGATGAACACTTGACCCAACCCCCCCTAAATCCCCATGGAATTGCTAGCCAACATCTGATGGAGCATACCCACATTGCTTTGTATATCCAGGAAATAGCTGTCACCAACTGTCGTCTCTCATCTCAGAGTGGAGCACCCACCCCCCCACAAACACACACACATCATCACACAGTTGTCCGGCAAATACTTCCAAAATTTTCCGTAGTTTTTCCAGGCCAAAAAAGGGCAAAACTAAATTTTAAAAATAAAAAAAAAATATCAAATTAAACCTTTGGCATTGCGGTTGGCGTTTTGCCTGTCCAGTGAGAAGCTGCAAAGAGAGAAGCGCCGACGCAAAAAGTGCGCATCAACTACGGCAAAGCCCGGCTCCGCCATGAACATGCGCGGCTCCAGGCCCACGGTGAAGATCCAAACACCCGGCACCGACATCGTGATGAGGCATCGCATCGCCAATCCCATTAGCGGAATGGACCGCGGCCTGCCGATGTACAGCGGCTACGGCTACCATATGGACAGACGCTTTCACTCGCCCTCGCACATGAAGCCGATTGGTCCCGGACAGATGCCCCTGGACTTGTCATTGCCCGTGGGCGGGCGAGATCGGGATCGATTTGAGCCCATCGTCTGCGAGGCACTGCCAAAGACGCCGCCCCGCAACAAGTATCCCATCATCCAGAAGCTAAAAAAAAAAAAAAAAAAAAAAAAAAAAAAAAAAAAAAAAAAAAAAAAAAAAAGGAAAAGGAAAAAAAAAAAAAAAAAAAAAAAAAAAAAAAAAAAAAAAAAAAAAAAAAAAAAAAAAAAAAAAAAAAAAAAAAAAAAAAAAAAAAAAAAAAAAAAAAAAAAAAAAAAAAAAAAATTTGGGGGTTGTGTTTCGCCCCACGAAAAGAGAAGAGGAGGGGGGGGGGGGGGGGGGGTTTTGGTATAAAGGGTTAGGGGGGAGAATTTTTTCCTTTTTTTTTGGGGGGTTTTTGGGGGTTTTTTTGGGGGTTTTTTTGGGGGGGGGAAAAAAATTTTTGGAGTTCCTATCAGAAGTTGCTGAGACTTCGAAGTCAGACGTGTGGCGTTCTGCTGCTTTCAATTTAAACGATAATACAAAACATTCTCCCAAAACATATACTGACAAAAATAAATAGATTTCCAGTCCACGTTCGAACGAAGTCACGCAACTGACCCGATCATGCCAGCAGCCCGATCTGCTGCGGCTGCGCCCTATCCGGCAACTGCTCCACATCCAACCGCTGGCCAGCCAATCAGGAATTTTCTGCCTCGCGTCGCAGGACTCAGCCGGCGAGGTCAGGCCCCCGATCTCCCACCAAAGGTGAAGCAATTGAAGACACCAGTGGCTCGGCCAGTGCCCAGCAAGAAGGCGTCCCCTCATCCTCACGAAGCGCCGAGTCTGGCGGTGCTGGGCAGCGCCAATCCCAGCACCAGTGGCAGTGGTGAGACCGGCGATCAGATCAGTCTGGCACATGGCCGGCGCAGGGGGGAGGTGCACCACTCCAGCTTCGTGTACCTGTCGGCGACGGATGCCAATGCCGAGGTGCTCCGATGGATGATGGTGGACTCCAGCGATAGCTGCACGCCATGCGACAGCTTCAGATCCATCAGTCCCTCCATGCAGCCCTGCTGCGGGACCAAGCGCAAGCAGAACCGTCAGAAGGATGTGAACGTCAGCCAGCTCGGATTCCGGCACGTTGAGCACGTGGCGAGCGTAATGCAGATGCCTCGCATCAGCGCCAGGTCGCTGTCTATCGGCACGGCCCATGAGTATTCTATAGAGATGCGCAGCTTCAAGGACCGTTTGAAACCGGCAAACTCTGAGCGCAATGCCGATTCAGGTGCTGCTTCTCGTGCTGGTGGCGTGTGCCGCTTCTCGAACGCCAACGGGCTGCTGGGCCAGCTGCGTCCTGTGGTGAGCGCAGCACAAGCCATCAAGGACAGCGACAGCGACAGGGACAGCGACAGCGACAGGGACAGCTTGACTCGTTCCGTATCGCAGCTCCAGCTGGGATTGGAATCGACCGGCAGTCGGGACACGCAAGAACAATTTTGCCAATTTTTGGCCTCATTGCAATCGATGGGATCGATGGAATCGATGTTGTCCTGCTTGAGCTCCGAGGCTAACGCAACGCCGTCGATGGGGTCCTGCTTGAGCTCCGACGGAACCGCAACACCGTCGATGAAGTCCTGCCTGAGTCCCACTAGCCTCTCGGCCCCGTCGACGCACTCGATGGAAACTCAAATGCCCGAAAACGAAACTCCCGACAATGGATGGACTTCGCCGATGGTGGAGCAGCTGCTGGTGACAGCCATATCCTCGCTGCCCATTCCCCCACAGGTGCCATGCGGCACCCAGACAGAGGGACAGGCATCGACAGCCCGTGGGCCTGGGACGACACGTTTTGCCGGGGGAGGGGCAAAGTCATCCATCAAGCTCAACGCGGCAACGCAAGTGGAACCCTCAGAGCGTGGCTTGGAACTGTTCAAGCAAATACTGGTGGGAGCTGTGCAGGTGATCCTGTGCCTCGGTATGGGCATGGCCCTGGGCTTTCCGAATGTGCAGTGCCCCTCGTTACGAGACCAGGATCCATATGATCCATATGATCCATAACCAGTGATTGTTCCTTCTTACGTTGTTTTTTTTTATCCAAATTTTTCATTGTTTTACGCCCCCACACAGAAACAATATCCCCAGGACAGACAGATCAATTGTTAATGTATAAATTGTATGTGTATTAAATCGGCAGTGGCCAAAAAATCATATCTATATAAATTTTAATATTATATATATGTAAGTATTAAGTTTATTCAAGCATTTATTTATGTACAGCAAGTGTGTCTATGAGTATATGTAATATGTACGTGTGTGTGTGTGGGGGTGTGTGTTCGAAACCATAACCTTTTTTTTTTTTTTATTTGAATAACCATTTGCTTAATATTTAAGAGGACTCGCATTTACCTTTACCCGTTGCGGCAGCCACTCTAGCCCGGTTCGTGGCGTGAAGAACACAACTTTGGTATCGGGTAAGCTGTGTAAGCTACGGATAGCGGATAGCGGGTATATACGGGTAAGCTGTGTGTATCGGGTAGCAAAAAAAAAAAAAAAAAAAAAAACGGTGATTTTAGCGGGTGGTAAGCGGTTAAGGGGGGGGGGGGGGGGGAAAAAAAAAAAAAAAAGAAAGAGTGGGTTAAAAAAAAAAAAAAAAAAAGGGGGAGGGGGGGGGGGAAAAAGGGAGGGGGGGGGGGGGGGGGGGGGGGGGGGAAAAAAAAAAAAAAAAGGGAAAAAAAAAAAAAAAAAAAAAAAAAAAAAAAAAAAAAAAAAAAAAAAGAAAGAAAAGGAGAAGAGAAAAAAAAAAAAAAAAAAAAAAAAAAAAAAAAAAAAAAAAAAAAAAAAAAAAAAAAAAAAAAAGAAAAAGGGGGGAGGGGAAAAAAAAGGGAAAAAAAAGGGAAAGAAAGGGGAAAAAAGAGGGAAAAAAAAGGAAAAAAAAAAGGGAAAAAAATTTTGAGCAAAAAGTGAAAAAAATTTCGAAAAGAATTTCAATAAAAAAAAGCAAATAGCCAGGAAAAATAAGTATATTTCCGCTAATGCATAATGAATAACGGTGAAATCAAATCAATGAAAATAAATATAAAGTAAGGAACGGAATATGCTTAAAGCCCGATAATGAAACGGATATTTAAAGAATTAAAGGAGAGGCTAAGTAGCACAAAAAAAATGGTTAAAGAAAACATAATACCAATCGAATCGACTTATGCAACGGTTGCTGCTGCATTTAGCCGGAATATGTCCCACCCGTATACCATGCACCGTACACCGTACTCACCGCACAATCAATGGGAAGACATTGTTGTCCTCGGGCGCCCGATAATCCCGATAGTAGAGCAGATATGGCGATTTGTTGTTGACGAAAATGGGCGGCACACCGCCGCCAGTGTTCGAAATGATGGCTATATCGGCACAATTCCTGAATGTCTCTGTGCAGTCGAGGATATACGGATACGGATATAGTACGGGGGGAAAGAGAGAGAGAGAGATCTGTGTAATCTTTTGTGTAACCCACCTGCCTTGCCACAGCCGACGGCTTCGGTGCCATTGGCACAGGTGCCCCACATATTGGCCGTGTAGTAGGTCCACTGGAGGACGCACTGGGTGCAGGTGACGTAGGCCGGCAGCCGCACACGGTAGCGGAAGATGTCCTTCTTTTTGGCATCGCGCGGTATGAGGTAGCGGTGCTCCCGACTGCCGGAGATCAGCAGCGGGTAGCGATCGAAGCACTCCTGGGTTGCCTCCTGGCGCGGATTGTTGTTGGGGCAGAGGAACATCTCGAAGCGGCCGTAATGGTTGGCCGTCAGCTCCACCTCCACCTCG